TGTAAAACATTATTGTTATATTTTTTTTTAATTTTCATACTTAATTGATTTTTTATTTCAAGTTAACAATATAACTTTTCATGATGATTTGAATAAAATAAAATTAATACTCTATAATTAGATTACCACGGGTATAAAATATTAGTATGACTATTATAAATTATAGTTTGACTTTTTTATGATGAATATCTATGATTTGATGTATTTTTTTAAAAAAATTTGATGAATAATTTTGTATTTGTTAATGACAAGTGAAATTTTTTTTAGTTTTTTTATAAAATTAATAAAAAATTAAAAAAATATATTAGCAGATAAATCCTAAATTTTTACACAGTTTTATTAATTTTTATTTATACCACGCAGATAAATAAAAAGGATATTTGAGAGTTTGGTAATTATTTTTTAAAATATTTTTTATTTAAAAATATATTAAATTAATATTTTTTTATTTTTAAAAAATATTTTAACATTAAAATATCAAAATAATATAAAAATATATTAATTTAAAATACAAAATATTTTTAAAACACCAAAATAAATAAACAAGACATGTAATGCAAAATATTTTCCTTGGTTTCGAGAGATTTCTTCACGAAGAAAGAGGTAATAATTAAATTAATTAAAATAAACGTAGCTGAGGTCGAGAAAACACTGTTCCTCGCACTTGATCTCTTCCTACATTTATGCCGGACAAAATATGCAACGCAAAATATTTTCCTTGGTTTCAAAAGATCTTTTCTCAAGGAAAGAGAAAATAACTAAATTAATTAAAATAAACCCAGCAGAGATGGAGAAAGTATTGTTTACCTACTCACAAAACCATGATTTTTGGTCATTTAAGTTTTTCGTAGGTCTTATTAATTGTTTTTAGTTTTATTATACTTTGCGTTAATTAAAGATAAAACTTGATAATTTATTTTGCTTTATTTTTTATGGAAATACTATGATGTCAAAAACAATCTCTGTGTAAGTTTAATCAACAAGTTTGCAAAAAAGAAAAAAAAAGATTTTTAATGTTAATGAAAAATTCGAAATAAAAAGACTGAAATTAATAGTGAGACAAGTATACAAGCTTTTTCCCCTGTATTGTTCACGAGGCCCTTTTAAAATAAATTTATTGTTGAATCTTTTCATTTTGAGTCCATTTAGTTTGAAAATTTTATGTTTTAATTTAAATTTTTATTTTATTTACATTTCAGTTTATATATTTAAAAAATAATAAATAATCACAAAAAATAACTAGGAAAAGAGAAAATAACCGATTAGATAATTATGTGGGAAAAAAACTAATTTTTTTAATATTTTTTTATATATCAATAAGGTTTTTATAAAGTTTCATATTGTAAAAAAAAAGAGAGAGGTTGGGTTGATAAAGATTCTTCTAGTTTAATTTTGTATTTTTAAACTAATTTAATTTTTTTTTGAGTTGATAAATTAATATATTGAGTTTCTAAAAATATTTTTTTCATGGTTTATGTAAAAGTATGTTAAAAAATAATTTTTATGAAAATTATTTTATGAAAATCTTTCTAATAATTTTATGAAAATCTTTCTAATAATTTTAAACCTACGCCACTCCACTTCCTCACCAGACCGATTCTCTTCCTATAAAATGCAGTTTTTTTATCCAGTAAATGTTCAACATACGTTCATCACGATTTATAAGCAAAAAATAAAAGTTTGAAAGCTGAAGGAAAGAAAGAAAGATAGATAACTAGTAATTGGTTAAAATCCTAGAAAGGCCAGTGGGAGAGCTAAAGAAATGATGTCCACACAATCCAACGGGTGAGATGGTGGTGCATATTCCAAGGGCCTGGCTTGTGGTAACAAGTAGAAGAAGATCCTCAGTATCACCTCACAATATAAAGTGGAAAGCCATGTACGAAACTCAAAGAACCACCGGTTAGCCAATCCAGAAAGCAAGAAAATAAAAGGCTTCCACTCCTCCCTCAAAGACATTCTCACTACAGCCAAGAGGCCTTTAAGAAAACCAGTCCTTCAAACACACAATACACGTTAATTAAAAAGCATCGTGTAAAGGATTATCGAGATGTCTGGTGTTCTCCTCTGGGTGATTTGTCCCAAAGAGAATGCCAGTTTTGCTGCAACAACTTCGTATAGTTTAGTCCCAAAAAGTCGCGCACAAGTAAGAAGTCATAACTCCAAAGGGTGTTCAAGACTCAATTTCTCATCTGGGGTTTTTGCTGCCGCTTCCCTTTCAAGTGCAGTGGCTAACCCACCAAGATCTTCAGTTGAGAAGGTGTATGAGGTTGTTCTAAAGCAAGCTGCTTTGGTGAAAGAACAGAAAAAAGAGAGAGCCGTGGATGTTAGAAAAGAAAAGGGTCAAACTGATAGTATGACTCGCGGGGATCTGCTTAATGGGGCATATAATAGGTGTGGCGAGGTCTGTGCTGAGTATGCCAAGACCTTTTACCTGGGTAATTGCTCTCTCGTGCTCTCCCTCCCTCCCTCCCTCCCTTTCTCTCTTTTTCCTGTTTGTGTTTACTTACAATTCATAGTTATCAGAGGGTTTGCTTAACTTGTTGTTTTACTAATAAAGACGAAATAAAGTTTTTATTAAAAAAAGTAAAGTGAACTGGTTTCAAGGATTAAATATTGTCGCCAAACATGAAAGTTACAATTCTACAGTTAGAATCTGACCACGTTAGCCTTTCAAAACTTAGCAGTTTGCACATGGCAAGAGATCAATTGACTATTACAATATAACACTTTTTATCTGTTTAATTATCTGTCTTCCATTTCTTTTTCATTTTTATACTAAATTTTTTATTTGCTTGTAGATTAGCCCTTTGTTGATGCTTGCTAAGATAACGAAAGGAAAATAAGAAAAGTTAAATTGCTTTGCTTTTCTGCTTTCCTTCTGTGCTTCTTTCTCTTGTTGTGGAAACGATTGAAAAGGCTAATGGCAGAGAAACAAAGAAGGTTGAAAAGGGCTCTATAGAGTGACAACATTATCATGGCATTATACTAAAGATAATGATTTTTGCACAGATAATGTTCCCTTTTATTATTTTTTATGGGAGCTCATTAAATCTAAATTGAATCTAACATACATGATTTATTGCATAATAAAAATAATAATGACTTAATTCTTACTATTTTATTTCTCTCACAAGCACACATGATTCGTTGAATTCAAAACTAATTGTGATATATTGAATATGACGAGTAATGTTACCAAGGGGGATTTGGATGGGGAACATGAGAGTGTTCGAATCTGCGGGGAATTAGGAACTGAAATGTCAAGTTGATAATGTTGGTCAAATTGGAATAAATTTTTGTGTTATAATCAATTTTCTTACCTGCAATATTCCAATTTCAGGCACATTACTGATGACACCGGAGCGACGGAGAGCTGTCTGGGCAATTTATGGTACGCATGTTATGGCCCTCTTTCAACTTGCCAGTTCATTTGGTTCTATTGCATTTATGCTCCCTACACACCAATTTGTTTGTTTGTGGTGGGTACACCAGGGCCGATTTTGGCTAGATCAGTATGATCTGCTATTCTGCTTACATTATGGGTCATTTGGACATTCCATGAACGTGAATGATCCCCGTAAATGACCCAAGTTGTGTTTTTTTCCGTCACTACCAAGGGATTTGTTGTTTTGGAAAAAAAAAAAAAGTCTCTCTGCGGATTTCATCACCATGTGTAAGGTCATTGTAGAATTCTCTTGCAATCATAATGGCTGCGAAACACTTTTATGTAAAAGCCCCGAAGAACTAGTCTATTTACTCTTGTATCTGTTCTGAAGTGTGGTGCAGGAGAACTGATGAGCTTGTGGATGGCCCTAATGCATCACATATCACACCCAAAGCTCTTGACAGATGGGAGCAAAGGCTGAATGAACTTTTCGAAGGTCGCCCATATGATATGTACGATGCTGCTCTATCAGACACTGTCTCCAAGTATCCTGTTGATATACAGGTAATACTTAAACCGCAAAGCTAAATAGCCAGCATGCTTTTGTATATTCACTGCACCATCTATTTGGGTGATAAATTATTAACCCCAGTTGATTGCAAATCCTCTCTTGTGACAGCCCTTCAAGGACATGATAGAAGGAATGAGAACGGACTTGAAAAAGTCGAGATACAAGGACTTTGATGAGCTTTACCTGTACTGCTATTATGTTGCTGGGACAGTGGGGCTAATGAGTGTTCCAGTAATGGGAATAGCACCAGAATCCAAGGCCTCGACAGAAAGCGTGTACAATGCGGCTTTAGCCCTTGGGATAGCTAATCAACTAACCAATATACTCAGAGATGTTGGAGAAGAGTAAGCTTAATTATAATATAATCCTGATTCGAATTGCCAAGTAGATTTCTTATTAAGCAAAGAATTAACACCCTATAAATCTGTGAATACTGAGAATGTTGGTGGGTCCTTGTCAGTGCTAGGAGGGGAAGAATATATCTCCCACAAGATGAGCTCGCTCAAGCTGGCTTGTCTGATGAAGACATATTTAATGGGAAAGTGACAGACAAATGGAGGAGTTTCATGAAGGGACAGATAAAGCGTGCAAGAATGTTCTTCGACGAGGCTGAGAAGGGTGTTGCAGAACTCAATGATGCTAGTAGATGGCCGGTGTGGGCATCTTTGCTGCTATACAAGCAGATATTAGATTCTATCGAAGCAAATGACTATGATAACTTCTCAAAGAGAGCTTATGTGGGAAAAACAAAGAAACTTGCATCATTGCCTGTAGCCTACTGTAGAGCACTCATGGATGGTTCTTCTAAATTCGCCAAGCCAGCAAGGAGTTGATCACTTCGATTTTTTGCCCTTGAATTTAATTGCTATATTACAAAAAAAAAAAAAGAAGAAAAAACCAAGTCTCAAAGCTATAAATTCCCTGCTTATTTCATAAGTGAAATTTAAAAAGAAGAAGCATAGCATTGGTTAATTTTTGCAATGTCTTTCACCTTTCACTTACCAGATCGTAGAGGAGCATTGGTAGCATTTGTAATAGATATTTTTTTTTTTCATGTCACTTTAATCAAGTGTCTGTCATTTGTATATTTATCATTTTTATCTCAGGACACAACCAGATGTAACCTTATTTACCTTCTATCTCAAATAACAAGGATTCTTTATGTGAAGTGTTCGTCTTCTTCTTCTTTTCAATTTAGTACTATTTTTTTTTTAATTTTACCTATTTTTTTTTACAACTATACAAGTTGATGATACTGACTAGTATTAGTTAAGGAGCTGTTTCTATTAATTTTATTTTTTTTATTTTTTTACTTATATATATATATATTTTTAAAAAAATATAGATTGATAGGATTGTTTTTTCACCGATTAAGTTAATTGAATTGTATTAAAATAATTTATATAATTTAATTTTAAATTTGAATTAATTAAACAAATATAGAAGTTTCTAGCTTGAATTGATAAACCATATTTAATAACATCAAATAATTATTTATAACATGAATAATTTATTTTATATTTTTTTACTTGAGTCACATCATACCCTTGTGATGTTCTCTAACCAGCTGAATCATAAAAAAAGAAAATTACATTTAATATCACATTTAAGTCATAACCCACTAAATTCATTGCAACATACACAGCTTCATACATGTACAAGACAATTTCCCTCCGAATCGCAAAATCTCTACCCACAACAGCTCCTGTTCATGTCAATGACACATTTCATATATAAGATTACTAAAACAGGATTTCTATTAGCTTGGACCATACATTATGATAACAAAAAATTAAGAATATAACATATAGTTTAATGTGATTAAATACGGCGGAGACTTCTAAAATAAACTGAAAAGGATATATTCTATTCTTTCTTTAACCTTTGTGGGCTTTTATCCACACGGAGGCAGAGTGGCATTCTTCTCTTTTTTGAGACTGAATTGGGCTTCTTCTTGCTTGTCCATGCCTTGAATGCCATTACTTTAATGGATGCAGTGCCTGCCAACATAGTCCAATAGTCGGCACCCAGTTTGAACAGGCTTCGTGATAATTCACTCCAAATTTTTGGACTTGGCAGTACTAGTTTTCAGTCTCCAGTTAACAGGGCTCTGTTTTAACTCGGAACATCGAGGCAAACCGATCAGAGTTCGGATCCAGACGGGGGGAGCAAACCATTGCAACGCCCTTCTGTAACATCTGCTCCACGGCATATTTTGACTTGGACCCCGATTTTTCCCCTTGTTTCTTCCGAGGGGGAAAATACCATGGGAACACGCAACCTTTACGTCACAATCCGTTTTGAACTTCAATTTCTTATATATTATACCCTCTAAGAGGGAGGGAAAAACAGTATAAGATTCTTTGATTTCGCGGCCAAACAGTGTCTACTTCTCCAATTTGACATTAATTAAAACTCGACTTCATGATATCTCATCACGATACATCTCTTTTTCTTGATTTGCTTCCAACGTTGACAAGCCTGCTTAGACTATCCAAAAGAATTCAACGAAATTTGTGCAAGGACTTGTTTAATTCAACGAGGACCATTAATATCGGGCTATTCTAGCTTTAGCCTTTGGGTGCTTGTTTTAAAGCCAAAACTAGCTGAAAGGATTCACACATTCGTAAGGTTTTGAAAGCTGAAATTTTAAGCAGCTATAAATTTAAAAAATATTATCATGTTTTGTTTAAAGCAAACATGATTCTTGATATGATAAAAAAAAATATGACTTGTGAAGGTATAATTTACTTTATAAGATTCAAATATTTTTGATATTTAGTTACAGATTAATTCTAGATCAAGATACTCAAACTTAATTATGATTTTCTTGAAAAAATATTATTTTTACTAGGAGTTATTTGATCATATATTTAAAAGGCTTTTATTTGATATAGAGCTAGATTTTGAAATCATATCATCTCTTATTTTTTATTTTTTGTAATATTAATTTCATCTTTGTCCTTGCATCTTTGTTTTTAGTAAGAATTTCAGGGGTTAGTTTTGGTAATATTTATTTTCTTTCCTGCATGATTTCATGTTTATTTTCATTATATATAAATTGCTGATTACATCTATTTCTTGTTTATCTGTTTCGGTCGTTTGCTTGGGGTTTCTTGGGGAAATTTCCCTGCTTAGATAATCCAAAACGAATTCAACGAAATTTGTGCAAGGGCTTGTTTATATTCCACGAGGACCATTAATGTTGGGCTATACTGGCTTCAGCCTCTCGGTCCTTGTTTTAAAGGCAAAACTAGTTGCTTTCAGCCATTAACTTTGAAGGATTCGAAAAGACAAACGGCTCCAAAAGACGTCAAAGTACTTGGGTTCTCTTTCCTCTCTCCGTTTCCTTTTGTTGAGTGTCGAGGAATTTAGATTCATTCCTCTTTGAAAAGTAGAGCCCGCAAGGCTGCAACCTTCGCTTAAATAAAAGGGTTGCCCAATGAAGCTTGAGCCCCCTTTCGTCCCTTTCCTGAACATGCTTTTGGTCTTATTTCTCGGCTATCACCTCGCCGAACTTGTGCACCCCATGTTTCCGATATGTCGTGCTACAAGCTAATACCTATCATTAGCTTACGAGGAAAACGATCCCGTCTAGTTCTACCAATCATGCACTCTGGAGTTTAACCTAGCTGGTGATAAATGACAATGGCCATCTTCATCCATGATGTTACCAAACCCACTTTGACGATCATTGGGATTGGGATGTTAAGCTCACAAATCACATAGCATTATGTATAAAAAATATATTTGTGTGCCCGAGAATTTGGTTGCTTGTTATGGATGCACAGATGTTGTTGGCAGAATAAAATAAGAAATGCCAGTGTACGTAGTTGATTTCTTTTTTAACTGCTCTTTTGACATTTTTGTTATGATGACGTATTTAATCGGAGGAGCCTTGCGTCTATGTTATTTTTAAAAAAATCATAACTTGTAAAGTTTCAACTTTATACCTTCATTCTTCATTCATGAAGTATACAGTAAAATATAGTATAAACAATCAAATAGCACAACCAGTAGCATGATAAGGGATATCTACGAGATTTTAATATTATCTATCCTCGAACCCGAATGACTGTACCCGAACCTTACCCGACAGGGTTTATAGAATCTAATACATGACCCGACCAGACGTACGTGGTACCCGGAAATCTGCTCTTAATTTTAGGTCATAACCAGCTGTTGAAAAGTATATTAACATTCGAGAGAGAGAGAGAGGGAGAGATGCAGTATTGATCACTTCCAACTTACCAGCTCCTCCTGAAACGATTAATTAATCAGTTTAGGTAAGTCTTCAAGAAAGACACCTCGTACCTCCTTTACAAAATTAGGATGATCCTCGTCAGCAAGATATTCAAATCCAGTGAAATTGCATCAAGAGCCATTGAAAACATATAATGACATGATTTTCCAATATCATTACAAACACAAAAATCAAGATAGTCCTTTTCTTTAAGGGTTTCTCAAGATATCAGATCAAGAACTCACTAGCTAGCTAGCTATAGGAATTACTCTCTGATTCTTCAATATCAAAACTGCTTTTATCGGGAAAAAGCTTCGAAGCAAATTATCAATCAATAGAATCTTCCCAAGAATCATGAGATGCTAATTATATATGCAAGGATATTTAGACGCATGAAAAGGCAACATAATACACAGAAATGAATAGCAATCTTTTTAAAGAATGAAAGATAGCCATGAATTTATTAGACATGGACATCAAAACGAATCTTGAAATGTAAATTATTCTTCAAATTAAGAACAAGAAAGCAACCTATAAGAGAGAGAGAGAGAGAGAGAGAGAGGAGAAGTCAATATTATCAACGCTTTAATATTGGACATTTTCAATTTCAAAACCAAAGCTTCCACTCTTCAATTTCGAAATACAAACAAGGCATGCAGTTGAGTAGAGGAGAGTGAGTCTGCGTGGACTGTGGGCTGCAGCCGAGGAGAGAAGATTAAGGACATAAAACAAGGCATGCAGTCTTCATCAGCTATATAGCCGAAGCTTTTGAAATTCGGGATAGCTTTTGATTGAATGGTAATGTGTTTTGTCAAAAGTTTTATCATAGCTAAATTTGTCCAATTGCACGCCTGATCAGGTTGGCATCTTTTCAAGGATAAATTCGAGGGGCAAACATTCTCAGCAATATATTGAGGAAAGAATTGTGAACTTTCATCGTTACGTCGAGTCATTATGTATATATACTACAAGATCTGTACCTAATGTCCGAAAGGTTTGAAAACTCAAGATGAACCTGCGATCAGATCGGCAGAGAGAAAGAAGATGAAGATTAAGAAACTTGTATATATCGAGTGATCTTTGCTTCATTAATTTTATATATTAATAATAGAGACAGACTACCATTAACCATAATCGTGCATTAATGATCAACTAATGATAAGTGTGGGTACTACGTACAGTACTGTGCCCCGATTTCCTTTTCTTGTTTTCCGATTATATTTTCTCTTGCACTTCAGCAATGTTTATTAATTCTGGCCGCAAAGCAGCAACAAGGCAGAAGGTTAGAAATCGCTTGCTAATAATTAATGGTTTCAGATTATTGCAATATATATATATATAGAAAGCTTATATATATATATATATATATATATATAGAGAGAGAGAGAGAGAGAGAGAGAGAGAATGTGTTTAATTTACAGTCGATGAATCACTGATAAGATATAGAATACTTTACGATATAGATTCATTTGCAATGGCAATTCTTAAAAAAATCAGGATATGATATATAAATAATACATTATTTTTTTAAAAAAAATCATTATCGGGAGAATTTTATTCGAACAGTATATAAAAACCAGCACGTAAAAAAACAACATGAACAATAATAATTATTATGATGGTTATAAGGAATTGGTGATAGTTTGGTTTTTTTTCTTCTCCAAATCTAATTATTGCTACTTATCTCCCTGTTGACTAATTAATTAGTAGCCGTAACGTGTTCTTATCATAGTTCTTTTTATAAGATTATAATATTAAAGAAAAAAACCCAGAGAAAGATTCCCTTTGACTGTAAAAATAAGAGAATTAGCAACTTGATTACCTGATTGCGGTGTGTGAATCAGCTTTTCCTTTGACTGAGAAAATAAGAGAATTAGCAACTTGGTACCTAATTGCGGTATTTGAATCCGTTTTGGTGACTAAAGTATGTGTTTAAAGTGTTTTTTTTTAAAATATATTATTTTCTTATTTTTAAAAATAATTTTTTGATGTAACAAATCAAAATAATAAAAAATATAAAAAATCAAATTGTTGTAAAACACCATTTTAACTGTGTTTCTAAACTGTTATCGAGTTACTTGTAGAAATAAGATTTTCCTCTGTCACTTTCACAAAGAAAGGTAAAACTACACCGCTTTAGATATCTGCATGTGTATTTGTCCTTTGGCCAAAATTACAGTGAAAGCAATCTTCCAGATCATAAATATATAATTTATAGCAATAGAATACAAATCGAGGGAGCTGGGAAAACGTGAGAGATATTCTTTTACTCTCGGTTCGCAAATTTGGATCCATTTCTTTTGTGTGGTTTGCGTGCACGGGAAGGAACCCACCCACATTGATCATCCATCAAACAAGCGGTCAAGATCTTGCAACAGAGAAGTCCATGGTTGGATGATAAATGACAGGGACGGTTCATTGCATACCATGTATCTTTAAAGCACCGGAATGTTTTCAACCGTATGATGATGAGCCAGAAATTCCAGGGGGGAGTCAAGCCGCTAGCTTCTCTTTTTCTAGCGTATTGAAAATGGTGGTGCTGAACACGGCAGCCACAAGTCGAATCGGATGGGTCCAAGAAGTAGGCACCGTCTTTCACAGCCATGAAGTTGATAGGTTAAGGTCATGGCCTTGACATTACTCTCTATCTGCTTTGCCAATCTCGATGGCCTCGTTAATTTCTTCTTCTTCTTCGTCCCAGAAGGTGCCATATGTCCTCGAAGTGAAATGACGGAAGAAAAATCTCATAGATGCATGTCCGAGGTTATGGCCACGTGCGCTTTTGATAAAACAAATAAGAATAAATAATCATTGAACTAATTAAATCACACATATACAATTTTCTGATAAATACTTTGTCTTTTATATATATATATATATATGTATTTGAAGCATTTCTTTTTAAAAAACTTTAGTTTTTTCATTATTATTTATTATATTTAATATTTAAGCCTGGATTTTGTTCAAAGTCTTATGATGGGTGATTCATTTTCAAATTCATGTATTATTTGTTTATTTATTTCATGTGAGTTTACAGTTTCTAACACTCTTCTCATTTACAACCCATTTTCTTGAGTTTTGTCAAGTAGATTGGTGTCAGAAAGCTCACTGGACTTATAATATATGTTTTAATACCATATTAGATTTTTTTTTGGATAATTATACCATATTAGATTTGACAGGCGAGCTTTATTTTTTATTCAAAAAATCTAAGTCAACTGGTAGGTGATTAATTTTCAACTTTTATATCTGTTATAAACTTAATTATAATCAATTAATCATATCAAATAGAATTGGGAAAA